CGGTCGGTTTAATTACCCAAGTTTAGTGTGACTGAAAGTGCGCGTTTATGTGAACGCAAAAAAAGCGGAAAATGGGTATGTTTTATAAAAAAATTTCTAATTGCCGTATTTTCTGTAATAGTAGTGCAGTCTATAATAGTGGTGCAGGCTGGAGGGGGGTTGAAAAAATAGTAGTGCGCACTACTATTACAGAAAATACGGTAACAACATTGTAAGTGAGCAAAAGAACAATTGAAAAATTTGAAAACCAGCTTTTCAATAAGATTTCCAAGGAAAACAATAATTTTGTTTTCCTCGAAACGAACAAGTGAATAAAGGATAAAAAAATCAAGTGTCGTTGTCTTTTTGTTGTCTTTTTCTTCACTTAAAGGAAAATAAAGGGGAAAGAAATGGGAAAATTCCCTCAAATTTGTATGGAAATTTCGAGAGAGATCTCTTTGATGGAAAAGAGAAATTGAAAAGAAAAAGAAAAAGAAAAAGAAAAGGGAAATGGACCGTTCGTTTTTGGAAAATGGGAAATCGGGAATCATTTATTTCTGTTCTCTCTAGATAATCAAAAATCGGGAATAGAATTCGGTAAAATAAGGATGGAGATGGGATTGAGGAGTCTGATTGAGATACACTACTGGACAATGAAATATCATATTTGAAAAAACACTTTCGCACTTTCGCGCGTCTGTAACTCCCTTGTCTTTACCGTATTTCTAAATATTAATATTACCATTGTGTAGCCCTTGAAAAGAGCTTTCAGAAAATGCATAGCACTAATAGTTTAAATTCAAAGACAAGGGAGTTACAGACGCGCGAAAGTGACGATCTTTTTCAAATATCATATTTCATTGTCCAGTACTGTAGGTAAGTCTAAGCATTAAAGGGACAATCAACGAATTTGGAATGAAAAGGCTTGTGGAATTCGATCGAAAGAGTACAGTTCTGGATTAGATAAAGCACTTTCAATTGTAAGTAAAGCAAGTAAAGCAAGTAAAGCAAGTAAAGCAAGTAAAGCACTTTCAAGCTTGTAAGCTTGGATTTTAAAACTGAAAATAAAACGTTTAGCAGTTACAATAGATTTCAATTACAATAGATTCAAAAAAACGAAACCAATACAATGCTTTTATAGAAAAATCAGAATTGGTTAAAATTTTCTTTTCATTGAACTTCGTCACTAAATTCCCCGTCAGACTGCCGGTTCAAATGCCAAATGTGGAGGAGAATCATTGGATCCGATCAGGGATAAGGCCAATATTTGTCTCTGTGACTGACGAGATCGACGGAGAATTGAAAAAGTGAAAAACAGAACAACAGCTGAATACACATAACCCCCCACAAGATTTTGAGAAAAAAAAGAGAAATGATGTGCGGAAATGAAACAAGACAAGTATTTGACTCAATTCATCAACAATTCTTAGCTCTATCCGTTTTCTGCAACAATTCTACACCTTGGCATATCAGTTAGGTTGAAGAGTTGTGAGAATGGCTTGTTGATTTCTAAAAATTACAATAATTTGATGGAAATTGAAAGCTTTGATGAAAATTACAAGCTTTAGCTGAATACACAAAACTGGAGTGAAGCTGAATTGAAAAGTGAAGCTGAATCTGGAGTGAAGCTGAATTCCGAAATTCTCCTCCGAGTCAACCATCAACCATCAACCATCACACAGACGGGAAATCAGCCAAACTTTCGGTGCATTAATGTTACTTTTGAAAAATATCAAAGAAAATAAGTTAAGTTGTCTCAACAAACTGTCACTAAATTTCTACCCTTTAGAAATTTAGTGACAATTTGGTGGGACAAACACAGCTTTTTCTGTTTAGCGTAAATGCGCACTTTTGGAAGGCACAATTTTGGAACTCGCAAAACTTGGGTAATCAAACCGGCTGAGGGGCTGAAAGCGGCCTGTCAATGCGCGGCAGTGTGCCAGGTGCCGCTTTTTCTTACGAGAGACGGGAAAGGTACGCACACCCATTTGTGATCTAGCGAATCAAATCATTCTCATTCATTTTCCAATTCAATTTTCATTTCAACTCCTACTCATTCACTTTCTAACTTTTCCCAAAAAGTCGACAGTTCACAAAAGTTGACAAATGTGGAGAAAATCGGGGCAAAACTTGTGCAAATATAGAAAGATAGAGGGATAAAAATAGAAATTCCAACCAAAAAACGAATTGAAAAAGGAAAGGCTTGTTTGCGAAGATTCCACGCAAAAGGTAAACGATTTTGATAGAAAAATTTTAAAGGGAAAGGTAAAGAAAGGAGTTTTTAGTTTAGAGTTCTTAATTTAGAGTTCTTAAGAGTCAGTTTGGAGTTCTTAATTTAGAGTTTTGACCTTGAAAATCTTTTGAATCCTTTTCACTCTCCAATTTTTTGAGATACCCCCAGAAATTTGCATAATCTGTTCACTGGTTGTTTAGTTGACTAAGCAAAATATTATTGTGACTTTTTGAATAATAATCCGAACTGTTATTGTTTTTTTTTTGGTGATTGTTAATCAGAAAAATGCTATGCTATGAGAGGAATTGCTGTGAATTAACTGGACAATGAGGACAATGAGAATTAAGTGGACAATGGGCAATGTAAGAGCAAATTAACAGACATTGACAGGCATTAACAGATTAACAGATAATGGACAATGTAAGAGCAATGGAGGTGAGAGCAAATTAAACATTGGATATTTGATCTTAAAAGAAAAGAAATGAGGTCACCAAACAGTAAATCTTTTCCCCAACAAATCAGCTGATCAGCATCTGTTTTTTTGATAAAATGAGAGCACTTGAAAGAGCAAAAAAAAAGGGGAAGATCACCGAATTCCCCCAGAATGACCCTCCTGGCGGTCCCCAGCACGAGAATTCCCGTGTGTGTGTTGAAAGATCGAAGGGATTCTTCTCGTGTCCGTCTACCGATTTCAGTTCTCTTTTGTGTCTTTTTTTAAAGTGAATGGACACAGAATGGGTCATTCAAAGAAAAAGAGAAGAGAAGGAAATCTTTTCGAACTTTTTTGAATGACCATTCCTTTTGATTTGGGGAGAATGGTGAGGGAAAGAAAAGAAAGAAAACGAAAAGAAAAGGAAAAGAAAAAGAGAGGAAACCCGGGATGCACGACTTTGAAGGAAAAAAAGATTCAAGGAGATTGGTTATTTTGGGATTTTGAAAGCATTTTGCTTTTAGAAGTGAGTCTTTTGAGATGTAGAAGAAGATTTTGTATGTGAACTGAATGTTATATCGAGTTGTCTCATAGCCAAAGATGCCTTGGATCAAAACCAATCTAAAGAGATCTACCAATCAAAACCAATCAACCTATTTTTCAACTACAGAATGATTCCTTCTGATCAAAAAAGAATTTTTCCAAATCTAGAGCTTGTAGCTATGATTGGAGACATTTCAAGCAATTGGCTCTGATCGGTGGATAGTGTGTAGTGGGTCAACACGTGACTTGGCGGCGATCCAGAGCCTTAGGGGGGAACACAAAAGAAAAGAGAGGTGAAGGGCGCGCGGGAATTCGCGGGAAATTCTTTTTCGGCCCGATCCTTAGCTAAGGAAAGGGGAGAATTGGGGAATGGGGGAAAGGCACAACCAGGTACCGTTCATCTTTGCATTCATTCCACTTTTTTTCTCCACTCTTCTCCCCATTTTCCCGCTAAGAATTCCCGTCTTTGGGCTGGAGCCAAAAAAACTGAATGGTTCACCCAATTTTGGGGATTTTCCGGAAAAGTGGAGTTACGATTTTCAAGAAAAGAAGAGTTTACATATTGGGTTTAGATTTTAGATTTAGATTTAGATTTAGATTTTAGGTTTAGATATTCATTTAGATATTTTAGGCTAACTTTTGAGCTTTTCAATTAGCTAATCATTACTATAAGAACAATAAGAATGACAAAAATTTGCTCAACAAGCGAATAAGGGAGTTTTTTTTTGATTTTCGAGTCATTCTTGAATACCCCAGTAATTAAGGTTTGTCTCCAATGAATCAAACTCCAATGAATTGTCTCCAATGAATCCAAGGAATCAAAACACATTGTGATAAAGAAAACGAGAAAATCAAGAACAAAAAGAATTATAGCTAATTGAAGAGAGGAATCTTTGTCTCTTGTCTATCTATACTTGTTTCTCTTTTTACATATTTTGGTCTCACTCATCTGTTGTGGTGTGAAGGGGTAAACAGTGAATGAAACAGTGAAGAGGACAGGGAAGAGGACAGGGGGAAGAGGACAGGGAAGAGGACAGCTCTCCTTTCTATCAAAGAGAACTGTCAGATCTGTGTCCGACAAAGAATGCGAAAGAAAAGGATAAAAAGAAAGAGGAAAAAAGATTGGGTATAAATCAAGATTATAAAAACCGGAGCTTTCTGGCCGAGTTTTCTGTGCATTACTTCAAAAAAGCGACAAGAAAGCGGCAGTTTTGAAAGTTAACTTTGAAAGCATTCATGTTTTTCAAAGTACTTCTCGAATATTTCTCTTAACCATCTTCCTTTTGTATCAAAATAATCGCCAATACTTTTTTTTCCACTTTTCAATCGTTCTTTCTTTTTATTTCTTTCAATCTTTCAACGAATCACTTCTCGAATTCCAGAAGTGTTCAATCAAAAGTTGATTTGCATTTATATTTCTGAGAAATATCGTTTACTCAAAACACAAAAAAACACACAAACTTTCCCGTATTTGAGAATCCGGAACATAAAATTCTAGATAAATTTCGCAAAAAAGAAAAAAAAACAAAGTAATGTCAATGTTTTCGAAATTTTGGCCTAACGAGACACGTATTTTGATCAAATCTCAAACAAAAATCCGCAATCTAACCGATATGAGCTGGAATTTTTTACCTCAAAATGCATATCACAGAGAAGATTTACGGTGAAATGAAGGAAATAAATGAAATAAATGAAATGAATCGAAACTGAAGCGAAAAATGAAAGAGAATGATTAGGGAAATGTTTGAAAGAAGCATAAAAAGCATATCAATTTCATTCTATCAAATAAATTAAAGCAATTAGTTGAAAATTTTAAGAGATAAGATTCAAATATTTCAATAGATCATCGGTTCTTTGATACAGAATCGTCAAGAATTGATCGACAAGCACCGAGCCGGTCGCGTTGATTTGAGCACCTGAAATTCTTCGGTTAATTTAAATGAATAAAACGCTGAATATCGAATATTTAAATCTAACAGATGGGATCTTTGCCATCTAGTTTTTTTCAATATTCACAAGGGAAGATATGCCGCCCAAAGCCATAGACCATTCGACACAGAATTTCAGGAACTATAACCAAAAAAGAGCAAAAAGCCACCGGATTCGAACCAGACAGCCCCGCGACCGTGACTCGCTTGAATCCTAACTCACTACCACTCGGCCACTGTCACCTGTCCTGCCCGCAGAAGAAACGGTTCTAATGTCGCGGCTTGATTTTTAAAACTCCTTACAAAACTTTAAACGCGTATAATTTTTGCCCGAGTGCTCCGTAGCAAAAAAGAAGCATCATCATGATCAGCGTGAAATTCTGCGTCGATTGGTCTATGACACATCCAGTTGACCTTTCCTTGTCAGTCTAAACTCACCACCAATATCGGGCAGTGCCGTTTCGTGGAACTCGTTGACAAGTGAATAGGCTAATCCTTGTCCCCATGACACTTCCATCCCACGCAGCTTTTTAGCTAACTGAAAATATTTGTTTCATTTAAAATTCATCAGTTTTTTTTCAGTACCACTAATGGCTGTGAATTCTCGAATCCATAACCATCCTTGAGAAGTGAATGGATGTAGAGAAGATCCATGCATTGCCTACAAATTAAAGATATCAACTGTTTTTAGCTAATAAAGTAGATAGCTTTGTTAATCTTATTTTGTTTTCAATTTCTATTTTACTGCTTACCATGGAAGCCAATGTGCCCCATGATTGAGAGTAGATGAGTCACGGTGACAAGCTGAAAAGTGACATGGTTAAGCTTTCTAAAATATTCAAAATCAGATTTAAACCCAGATTCTCGTTCTGGAGAAATTTTAAACTGATATTTGACAAACTTTATCAAGAATTTCTGGCAAAATTGAAACCTCCGGCCAGGGCAGGACTCGAACCAACCGCCACCTAGCCCCCCTAAAGACCTGCCAGCCAAGCGCACTAACCTTTCGGCCACGAGGACATGTTATCGAGGGTCGGGGGAATCGCTTGATAATCGCCCGGTCAGCAACCCGACTTTAAAAAAACTCACCGATTTTCGCAGCTTTCTCGAATTCTCCGAGTGTCGTTTTTCCTCCATTTGAATCTTTGACAATCCCCGCGTTGAGAGCTCGATCAAAGAAGTACGAGAACAAGTAGATTGGCTTGCCTAGATATTAGAAGTCTATTAGAAGTCTATTAGAAATGATTATCAAATTATAAATATCCAATCAAAACCATTAATTTTCATGCAAATTGCTAACTAATGAACTGAAAAAGCGTGCTCTTTTAAACAACAGCAAACAACTAAAACATCAGTCAGTAACCTTTTAGCTCATCGAACTGAGAAAATGTTGAATTGGCTAAAATGTTTAGATAAAAAGAGGAATCTTTTTTTGATTTCACCTTTTAAATAATCCAATTCAACGATTGAGCTCTGACGGACGAATGATCGGACAGCTGTTGCGCATTTCGATTCAGAATATTCGGGATTTCCTCTGAAAATACTTTGGATTATACTCTTTGAACTCTTTGAACTTTACTCTTTGAACATTTCTCTAGTATAAGTCTTTGCAAATTGTTTGAATCCTGTTTTAATGTGCAACTCTGCCCACCTCACTCTCCACGATTTCAACGCGTATTGCCAGTTCGGAATCTCGAAATCTTCTGGCATACAGGGAGAAGTCAAGTGATCGTCCGACTAAATTTTCAATCAAATTTCAATCTCAACTCATTATGTTAACCTGTAGCTCTGGATTCGTCGATCCCATCAATACACCAAGTCGAGCAGAGATTAAACCATTGCCGAGGAAACTGAAAACTGGCGGTAAATCTTGAGATTCTAGCAGAAGTCAGCAGAAGTATGAGAGTCTTGCAACTAACATACTTGCAGAAGTGTAAATAAAGAAGATTAAAGATTAAAGAATAAAGATTAAAGATTAAAGTCTCACCTATGAGAAAAGAGGTGCATATGGGTGTCGAAGAAATCGATATCCTTTCGATATTCGCGATTCTCGTAGAAAAGCGAATCATCGGATGGCCAAAATGTTACCTGAAAAGGAAATTTGGATATTTTTTCTTATAGTTTTTCATCTTTTGCACAAACCTGAGTACTTCCACCTCCCAAATCGAAAGCAGCAACTGTTCTTGATGGAGCTGGATCAGCTGGAAGACCGTTCGATTCTGGAAATGTCATTCTGATTGTTAGATTTCGATATTGGAATAGGAATAGGGTATTCAGAACGAGATTCAAAGCAAACTCACTTTGGAATAAGGTGTTGAGAAGGAGATTCAAAGTAAACCATGAGAATACTCCCTCATCTCGGCCATCCAAGATCTCAACCGCATTCTCGGCGAGGAAGAAACCCGATGAGAGGACTTCGGTTTGAACTTCTTCAAGAATCGCGTCCGCTTGACCTTTTGGAAGAAGGCGAAGGCCGGCTGTTGCCTGCAAATTTGTCGTTGATTTTTGTGGTTTGAGATTTTAAACAGACTTTGCTAATGTAAATAATTTAAATATCAACCATCATTCAATCCCTACCTTCAATGCAATCGGCGTTTTCTCCCATAATTCCGGTGGAATCTCTTCATGAGCTTTGTCAAGGAGTTCTCTTACTGAAAGTGCTGCTCCTTTTGGATTGTCGTGGAAAGCGGAGAGACCCGGTTTTACCTGAAAGTAGCTTCATCTTCATATAAAGATAGTTAGTCTTATTTTGGAAGGAGTGCTGTAATTTTAAAGTATTGCTGTAGTTCCTCTAGCTGTTCCCACTCTAGCTAATCCATTAAACTATTTGAAACTAGTAGAAACTAGTAGAAACTAGTAGAAAATACTTTTTGCAGAAAAAAATTAGAAAATTTATCGGTCGAGGAAGGCGAACCAACAACCAGTGCAGGTCGTTGACCAGCGACCAGCGCCTTAGACCACTTGGCCATAGAGTCCAAACAAACGTCCTGGTTTTTTCAAAGTAAGAGGCCGGTTTTTTCAAGGTAAGAGGCCGGTTTTAAAGTATTGCTTTTACGAAAAATCACACAACTTCCTAATAAAATTGACGTCGGATTCGGAAAGAGGACCCAAAACTACATGCTCTTACAAATTTTGAGCTCATTTGGTCCTCATTTGATTGCTTTAGTTTCAAATTCCCCGTTTTTGTTTCTATTGACCACAAATTTTCCACTTCCTACCCCGTGATTATTCACGTTTTTTACTAATCCTTAAAAAATTCTATCTTTATTTACACTTTATTTATCTTTATTTACACAGAAGGCCCGGTGACTTTGATTATTCGAACGGAAATGAAAGGAAAACGAAAAGAGAAGAGACGAATTGATTCGATCTCTATTTGCCCTCGGTTTTCACCGCTTTTTTCTACCATTTTTGTGTCAACGAAGGATCATCATTGAGTTTCAATACTTTAGAAATAAAAAAAGAAAATTTTGTCTCTAGAGATACTTTGCCTTTTCCTTTACCTCTTTGAAAATTTCCTCCTCGGTGACAAATGGAAGACTGTGTGGGAGAGTGTTGTGAACGAATCTGAAAAATTTTCTTTTAAAAATCTTTTGAATAAAGTCTTCTTTCACAAAAAATAACTATCTGTAAGCAGTTTTGCAAAATTTTTTGCACAAATTCCCCAAAATTTTTGCCGAAAACGAACCGATAAAGATGGAGTCTCGTCCCCGTTGAGCCCGCGTCAATCACCGCCGCAAAAAAACGACAAGGATCGTCCTGGAAAAAAAAAGAAATGAATGTTGAGAGAGATTGGGGGGAAAATTGAGCATTTTTGAAATTTTACCGTATGCAAATGTCCATCGGTGTAGCAGAAGTAACCCGGTGGGAAATCCGTCAAAACAGAGGCACTCGATAACCCGAGAATCACAGAAGAAAAGAAAAGTGAAGAAAACATTTTGAGTGAAGAGTTGAATCGTCTTTTGCTATTGTATCATACTTTAGAAAAATCGAATAGGAAAAGTTCTAGAAGACAGTCGTTTTCGCTAGAAAATACCCGTCTCGATGGTTCGCCTGAAAGGGATAGTTATGAGAAAATGCTTTGGTTATGAGAAAATACTTGTAAAAACCAAAAAAAATTTAAAAATGAAACCCTTGTTTACCGAAAATATTCTAAAAAAAGAAAGAAATTTTTTAGAGATAAAGCTGAAGGTTTGAAAGGGGTCGACGAGATTAGAAATAGAAAAAAAGCTTATCAATTTGAGTCAGAAGGTTTATAAGAGATCACTGGCGAACTTTGAGAGAACGGGATTTGCGAATCTGGGAGAAATAAGCTTTGTTTTAAAACGGTAAAACAATTCAAGAAAAGGAACAGTGAGATTAGTGAGTTATAGATATTTGGAGACAAAATATTGGCTTGGGAATATTGCGGTGAAGTGTACAGCCAGGAAAGTTGACCAACCCTGCTACTATAGCTTTCGAATACGCTCTATCAGTTATGACCAATCCCCACTACTAGTCCTCCTCACTCCTTCAGTTTTTATAAGGATCTCTGTCGTTCCCTCTCTTGTTTTCTGATTTTCCCTCTGAACAGACTGTTCTCTTCACTTCTTTTATACGTGCCATATGACACTTCACTTCACTTCACTCCTCCATTTTTCCCAAAAAAGAACTCCTTCCCATTCTGCTTCAGGAGAGGGGAGAGATAAGAAAAAAGAAAGGAAAATGTGTGATCCACACAGAAATTTTCGCTTTGTCAAGGAAAAATTGCTATCATCTGGAGGTTAGGTCTATAAAGTAGAAAAGCGGCTACTGGGAAAACAAAAATACAGATTTTGAAAGCTTGAATCTGATAGTTGATTGATGGGGTTTCGAGAGATTTCAGAGATTCGAGAGATTTCATTAGACCTTGAGACTTTGAGATCATTGGATTTATCTACAAAAGTACAACTACTCTATACTATAAATGAATTGTAAACTACTGTATTTGAAGAGTTTCAACCCAAAGGGAACAAGCTTGATGAAGAAAAGAAGAAAATGAAGAAAATGAGTGTCCAGGAACAAAAGCATGTATCGATTTTTCAAGTTTGAATATGAAAAAAGTGTCGAAAGCCAAAACTACCGAGTTCAACTGGATAATTTATGTCTATGAGAGTTAAAAGAGTAAAAAAATTGATGGAGAATCAATAGATGCCATTTGAAAGTGGCGAGGGAAAGTTTCGAAAGAGAAAACCACAGAAATTAGCCGTGATGCAATTTTTCTCTCTCTTGGGATTTTATAAAAATAATGAAGTGATAGAGTGAGAGAAGATGAAAAATGAAAGAAATGCTAGGATGAGAGACATCTTTTATTTTCTATCTAACAATCTCTCCGTTCTGTTCTGTAAAATGGGCAATGAGCATGTGGAAAATGGGAAAAGAGGGGGGAAAGTTTACACAGAACATTGGAAAAGAACAAGTTTTAATCTTTAGTTTTTAATGATCATGAAAAGACCAAACACTTGGGAATACCTTGAATAGATACTGTTCAATAATTACCCAGCTTCGGTATTTTAAGTGCAACCCAGCACTCAGATGTTCAATCATTTCACGCTTCGTTTAATAAAAAATTTAAATATTTTTCTACGCTGGATTCTTAGAATTAACGAAAAAACCTTTTCTGTCTTTTATAGAACCTCAAAGTCAGTCAGGAGTTGCTTGGCGCGGCACTTGTTTTTGGAGGATTTAACAAAATTTTGGTGGTTATGAACATTTCAGCGCTAAATTTACTTTTATTAGTTTACATTTACCTAAAGGTTAAAGATTCATATTTAACAGAAACTGAAAAATGAAAAATTTCGGTTCGCAGGGTCATCTTTTGACAAGCCAACATAAGATTCCCAAAATAGCAAAATTTTGCCTAATTAAGTGTCATTTTACCTTCCGATTCGTTTGATAATGTTTAAAACGTATTGCAAAAACAAAAGCGTTCAAAGACATGCTCAATCTTTGACATTTTCTGGAAATGAAAAGCCGCCAAAATACGCTGACTTAAAGAATTTGAAATTGGATTTGAAGAAAGTACAGTTTGTAAAAAACTTTATCCAAAGATTGTTGGATACGGTTACATGCATAATTGATGCTAAAACTACTCTGTTACAAAACGAAACAAAAATCAACCTAAACTTCTTGAATTTTTCGTTAATCCACTTCAAAGTTCGAAGTGGAATCATAAGGAAAAGTGGAGTATCATCTCAAATTTGTAAGCGTTGAAAAGAACGAGAAAAAAAAAGTTTCGAAGAAAATGTGCCGAAAAGGCTTTAATGAATGGCTGTTGCTTCGTTTTCTATTCAAAGGGCTACGTCACAATACGAAGAGCTTTTTTCGTTGCTTTTCATTGGCTCAGTTGATGGGGCGCAAAAAGACAAATGGTTGTATGCATTTTTCCGAAAACACCTCAAAAATTTCAAAACTTGGGATTGAGTTGCTGAGACTTCTTGATGTTTTCATTTAAAACTTGATCTTTTTCACAAAATTCATTTTCATTTGTAAAATTATATGTGAAAGAATTGTTTCTTGTTGATAAAGTTCAAAATTCGAGCTAACTTTTTCGAAAAAGAATAAAACTGTCAAAATACTAAAATGCACTTTTCTACCGTAGATTCCTTGTTGAATATCTTTTTGTGATGAAAACGTATAAAAAGGATAGCTGTTGCTTTCTTTCAAAGAATTTTCTCATTTGCTTCTTGCGTTTTCTCGGTTGCGTTTAAGTTTGTACACATTTGTTATTTGTATTGGGTTCTCGGTTCATTTTAACTGTATAATGTTGTTTTTTTAGATTCGAGCGATGGATGAACTTGAGCGCCTTCAGCTCGTCTCAAAAGTATGTAGTGAATTGGAGAATCACTTCGGAGTTGCTGATAAAGTTCGTTTTTGGTTCGGATTCTAATAGGAATGATAATAGGCTTCTCTAACAAAGCCGTTAAATTAAAAGCAGCAAACAAATTTATTTTCTTTGCCGTTAGGGTTGATTGGTGAATTTGTTAGCGTCGCTAAAAGCTGTTTGTAATATCAAGTTAAGCGGTTTTATTTTGCTCTTATGTAAGTTTGTTTTTTAGAATGTCGCAGAGTTCATCATCGATTTGGCGAGCAAATCAAAGACTTTCGACAAATTCAAGAAAGCGCTTGATGAGGAAGGACTTGGGGACCAGGTTGGACAATTTCGGTGTTACCGTATTTCTTCGAATAAAAGACCGCCTCGAATAGAAGAAAGGGCCTAGGGGGTGATCGAAAAAATGAAAGATCGGGCTTCGATTCGAAGAAATACGATAGATTTAGAAAAAAAGAGTAGCCGATCAAAGAAAATGTGATAGTTTCTGCCTATTAACTTGGACTATTTATTTTAGTTTGACGATTCATTGATTGCCAACTTACAACGTCTCATCCTACACATGTTACCCAAAAAGGAGAAAAAGAAGAAAGGGATTTCGGACAAAATGACACACAAAATAACATTGGTAGATAGTTTTTGCAAAATTTTGACTACTAGAGAATAAAATAAATTACCTTAGCTGCAGAACTTATGATCCATTTTAGATCTCAGATGCAAAAGATGAACTGAAAGCTCGTTTGCCTGCCCTTGCTATGCCCGATACAATTGACGAACCTCAAAGTGATATGATGGCCCAATTGGAGAATTTGATGCCTAAATGGCAGGATGCGGTTGGTGATTTAGCTAACTAATTTGAAAGTTTTGATGCAAAGATGGCTGCAGCTAAAGTTGAATATGTTTATTACAGGTCTTATCTAATTTAGAAAGAAGATGAAACAAAGAGGGATCGTTCACCTTCACCAAAAAGGAAACGAGATCGAGACAGAAGTCGGGATCGGCGAAGGAGTCGAAGCAGGGATCGTGATAGGAGGTTGGATTATAATTATTTGTTTGGTAAATACTTTCATTCAGTGGTAGAGATCGTGACCGTGACCGTTCAAAAAGAAGTCGAAGCAGAAGCAATGATCGGGATCGCAATCGCAATAGAGACCGGGATCAGAAAAGATGGAGAAGGTATCATAAAATTGACGCTAAATAAAACAACGTAAAGCTTTGATACATTATGCAAGATTTAAACATACTACACCTACCTTTTCAAGCTGAAGTTGTTGTCTAGGAGTCGAAGTGGCTCTCGTGATCGTGGTGGTGGACGCGGCGGTAGGCGTGAACGCGACATCCCTGATGCTCCTGAGCCTGGGATGATTCTCAATGGACGTGTCAACAACATGACCGGATTTGGAGCCTTTGTCCAGGTATTAAAATGGAATACTTATTGTTACGGGTCAGATTAATTTGAAATTAATTTGAAAAAATTCAAGCCTGAACTAGTAAAGAAATAAACACTTGAAAATACAACAAATAAACAAACCAAAAGTTCATTTTAGTTGGACGGTCTTCGCCAGCGGGCGGAGGGTCTCGTGCACATTTCACAAATCAAGAATGAACGAGTGAATTCTGTCTCCGATGTTCTCCAAAGGGGTCAAAAGGTGAAGGTGAAGGTGCTGAAAATCGAGAACGGAAAAACATCGTTGTCAATGAAAGAAGTTGATCAGGATACCGGAGAAGATCTCAATCCTAAGGTAAGTTAATAATTATTCTTGAGTAACAAGGTTAAAATGTCAAAATGAATATAAATTGTCTGTTTAGGAAGAAGAATTGGCTCCAGATGCCTTGAGAGTCACAAATCTCAGAAACCCCGAAGCGCCGCGAACTCGAGATGAAGATGATGGACCGAGTATGGCCAGCACTAGGTTTTGTTAATCGTTTTATGTATTTTCGATGTTTTTAGTAATGCCAAGAAAAGTCGTGTCAAAATGTCAACGCCAGAACGATGGGAAATGCAACAACTCTACAGCTCGGGAGCTATCTCACACATGGAGATGCCCGATTTTGATGAAGATCATGGAGTGCTTAAGAATTTTGATGGTAAAAATTTGAATAACTACTTAGAAATTATTCTTAAATTTTAGAAGAAGACGATGGTGAAGATTTGGAAATTGAACTCGTAGAGGAAGAGCCGGATTTCTTGAAAGTGAGTGCCATGATCATTTTAGCTTAATCCGAGTTTAGGCTTATGGTAAACATTCAAATGAAGTGGAGGCAGTGAAAGTTGTCAAAAATCCGGACGGAAGTCTTGCACAAGCTGCCATTATGCAGGCAAGCATTATTTAAGTAGTGGTTTTTACATAAAAGATTTTAGGGAGCTCTTTCCAAAGAACGACGTGAAGAGAAGATCAAAAACCAACGAGAACGGGATCAAGATGATAAAGGTAGATGCTTTTGAAATTCACAAATCGATAACGAAACTTTAGATAATATGGGATATCAATCAAAAACCCGAATATTGGATCCGATGCAAAGAGTTGGATACGAAGATCGAGGTGAAGAAAGACAACGAGGTGTCCAGAAGGTAAATTAACGTTGGTTTGGTGAACAATTTAAGCTTTCGATGTTTAGGATATGCCAGAATGGATGAAATATGTGACACAAGGCGGTCGGGCCACTTATGGAAAGAGAACAAATCTGAGCATGAGAGTAAGCTTAGCAATTGCTGACCTTATATTAATCACCTTTTTAGGAACAACGAGAAAGTCTTCCGATTTTCCACTTCAAGGATGCTCTTGTCAAAGCGGTGATGGAACACCAAATGCTGGTATGTCTTTTTTGAATAACAAATTCAAAGATGGTCCAGGTTGTTGTTGGCGAGACTGGCTCGGGAAAGACAACGCAGATGACTCAATACATGGTGGAAGCTGGATTTGCAAGAAGAGGAAAGATTGGATGCACCCAACCAAGGCGTAAGTTGGAAGTTTTGCTACGTGATTGCTCATATCTCACAGTATTGTACTCTTGATGCTGTAGTTGTATTCCAATTAGTAAACGATAATTTTAGGCGTCGCTGCAATGTCCGTTGCAAAGAGAGTTGCCGAAGAAATGGGAGTGAAATTGGGGCAAGAAGTTGGATACACAATTCGTTTTGAAGATTGCACAAGGTTTGTTCATTCTCTAAATACGGGGATTGTTTTTGAGCTTGTAAAATATGTAGCTCACAGTTTACGTATCCGATTTTTAGCCCCGATACCGTCATCAAATATATGACTGATGGTATGTTACTGCGAGAATGCCTTCTTGATCCAGATCTTTCTGGGTATTCACTCATTATGCTTGACGAGGTGGTTTATTTTATGGGGACATTCTTCATTTTTATTTTAGGCCCACGAACGGACAATTCACACTGATGTTCTATTCGGGTTGTTAAAAAAGGCAGCGAAGAAACGAAAAGATATGAAGCTTATCATCACATCGTAAGAGGAGATTACATTTAAGAAACTTCAAAGTCATTTTTTAGAGCCACACTTGATTCGGTGAAATTCTCAGAGTATTTTTGTGAGGCTCCAATTTTCACAATTCCCGGACGAACGTTCCCCGTGGAAATTCTATTTTCCAAGTAAGTTTTAAAGTGTTAAATTTAAGATATTTTAGATAATTTAAGATATTTAGTCAATTATATATTTCAGGGAACCAGAAACGGACTACATGGAAGCGGCGTTGATCACCGTGATGCAAATTCATTTGACCGAGCCTCCCGGTGATGTTCTTGTGTTCTTAACGGGACAGGAAGAGATCGACACCGCGTCTGAAGTGCTGTATGAGAGAATGAAGTCACTTGGGGCAAAGGTTTGTAAACATTCATGTCACCCAAACACTGAATACTAAATAATGTTACCTTGATTAATCGGTATTTTTAGGTTCCCGAGTTGATTATTCTGCCTGTATATGGTGCTCTTCCATCTGAAATGCAAACGAGAATCTTTGAACCAGCGCCTCCAGGAAAACGGAAAGTTGTCATCGCCACAAATATCGCTGAGGCTTCGCTCACGATTGATGGAATTTACTATGTGGTGGACCCAGGATTTGTGAAGCAAAAGATTTACAATCCCAAGAGTGGAATGGATAGTTTGGTGAGTAGTTTTTAAGTACCCAGAGAAATCTATAAAATGATCAATTTTACAGTTCAAAATTATTCGATTTAGACAGTCGTGCCAATTTCCCAAGCAGCTGCAAAACAAAGAGCTGGACGAGCTGGAAGAACGGGGCCTGGCAAATGCTATCGATTGTACACTGAAAGAGCTTATAGGTAAGTGAAACTTTATTGTATCATAATAAATACTCTTTTTAGGGATGAAATGTTGCCAATGCCCGTCCCAGAAATTCAACGAACAAACTTGGCTTCAACACTTCTGCAATTGAAAGTAAAGTCTTTATGGTTTGAGGGTGGTCATAATTTATTTTTAGTCGATGGGAATTAACAATCTGATTGACTTCGACTTCATGGATGCTCCTCCTTTAGAAGCGATGATTACCGCTCTTCACGAGCTGCACACATTGTCGGCTCTCGATAATGATGGATTATTGACGAGATTGGGAAGGAGGGTAAGCGCTTGATTTTAAACTTATCCGCCTACTTTTATGGAATCCAGCATTCAATCTGTTTGTTTAGATGGCCGAGTTTCCTCTTGAACCTTCTCTTGCCAAATTGCTTATCATGTCGGTAGATCTTCAATGCTCAGATGAGGTTTTGACGACTGTGAGCATGCTTTCTGCACAGAATGTCTTCTATCGACCAAAGGTAAGAAGGCTTATGGTTTATTGAACGAAAACTTTTTTTTAGGAAAAAGCTGAGTTGGCCGACCAAAAGAAAGGTTTGATTTTTTACTTTTTATTTTTACTTTTACTTTTTTACTTTTACTTTTTACTAACAGATAAATTTCAGCGAAATTCCATCAACCAGAGGGAGATCATGTGACTGCGTTGGCGGTGTACAACTCGTGGAAACATCATCACTACTCCCAGCCATGGTGTTTCGAAAATTTCATTCAGGCGAGAGCTCTTAAACGAGCACAAGATATTCGAAAACAACTACTGGGAATCATGGACAGGTAAAAGCAATTTCTTTGTCTAAAATCTAAATGCCCAGTTGAATGCTAAAAGTAAAATTGCATTTTTAGGCATAAACTTGACGTAGTTTCTTGTGGACGAGATGTTCAACGAGTCCAGAAAGCAATTTGCTCAGGATTCTTCAGAAATGCGGCAAAGCGAGATCCACAAGTACTTTAAAAGACATTAATCATGCTTAAATGCTATTTTTAGGAAGGCTATCGTACTTTGGTTGATGGTCAACAAGTCTACATTCATCCCTCATCATCGCTCTTTCAAAATCAACCAGAATGGGTCGTTTATCACGAACTTGTTATGACGACAAAAGAATATATGAGAGAAGTGAGTATTTGCATAAATCTGATTTGAAGTTAAAGAAATGGATGTTGGAGTTTAATTTACAATCTGGACGTTTTACATTTGCTTTACAGGTAACAGCAATCGACCCAAGGTGGCTTGTCGAATATGCCCCATCATTCTTCAAATTTGGTGATAATGCAAAATTGTCGACATTCAAGAAAAATCAAACAATTGATCCGTTGTTCAACAAATTCCAGGTAACTCATTGTTTATCCCCTTTAATTTATTGCTCTTATACGATTTCATTTTTAAAATTCAGGATCCGAACGAATGGCGTATCTCTCGTGTCAAGAAGAGGATTTACAACCCGAACAGATAATCACGTCTTTCCATTCATTTATTATATTTTCGAGATTGAAATCTCTGTTGAAATATCTTGGTTTATTCATTGTCCGATGTGCTCTATATTTTGTTATTTGTGAAGATCTGTTGTTGATTTTCTTGTGGTGTTTTATTGTTAAACTTGGGTAATCTTCGAAGATACATAAAGAGTTTTTCATGGAAGACATTTCAAATGCTCGACGGAAAAGCAAAACATAAGCATAAATTAGTAGAGGCAGACCTCGTTTATCCCATCATCATTCCCATCATAAGACCTCGCATGAAACCTGAAAATACATGAGATTTCGGATGCAGTCTAGCGATCCATGTCAATGTACCTCTTCCTCTGTATCCGTATCCTGGGTATCCTCCATAGCCACCATATCCACCGTAACCATATGGGGAATATCCGTACCCCGGATATCCTCCATAACCTCCGTAGCCCATCATTGGATATCCTCCTGCAAATGATGCTGTATTGGATCTAAGAGAGATTATGAGAGTGGCCTTATGATTACGAGTACGGTAGGTAGGTTTATCTCTTCTACTCACCATAACCATATCCTCCATAACCACCATAACCACCATAGCCGTAATGAGCGGCTGCCATGGCAATTATTGATAAAAACACGAAATATCGGAGCATCGTCTAAAATGAAAGAGTTTTAGATACTAAAAAACACAAGTGAATATGCAAAAATGAAAAACTTCTTCTGTAAGAAACAATTGAATCACTGATTTGAGTTGATCAAAGTCTGTGATGCTTTTAGATGTGAAAGAGATTGTGAAGAGGAATCAATTCGGCGAACACCATCTCGTTGCCTTGATACATCCATTTTTGCTCTAAAGGATCGAAACACTCATTTCTTTCTTTTTTTTTCCCTTTTCAAGTCTAGCCGCCTTTTCTCTTGTGCTCTTTTCTGATAATTAGGGCAAAGAAATCAGCAAAGCCTGTGGATCCATAGTGATATTTTTCGATTCTCTAAAAAGTTTTCATTACCTAGATCAATGAGACTTATAGCTAGATTAATCTAAAAGAGAATCCAGTACCAGATCCATTCACACATCTATCACAAAGACGATTCGAATCGGGTTCGAGTCGTGACTTTTTCCTAGGATAATTCATGACTTTGCAAACCCGCTATCATCTGCAAAAAGTGAATCACACAAAGACGTCATCGACGAAATGCAATTTGAGATTTGATCGTATATTTTGGAATTTTATAGAAGAAGAGGTGAGAATCGTCCTCTTTAGCTCTCTCACTTTAGCTCTCCCATCCACCCACCACTTCCGCCAGCGAACGGATCTTTTCGAATGGAGAACACTTTGAAGAGTCAAGCATTCAGTTAACTTGTAGCCATTTTTTTGTTCTTTACCATCCTTTTCAGTTCTCTGAAAAGGATGGTAAAGTTCTGAGCTAAAATTCTGAACTTTTGAGTTCATCAAACTCAAGTTCATTGCCTTTTCCGATTCGAGATCCCTTCTATAAGTCATAAGGTTTTACTGTAGTTTTCAAAGTAGTAGTAGGCAAAGTAGGGAGATTTGGAATTTTTCTACGGTAGTCATAGCACTAAAATAGCGATAAGGCTATAATCTCCTCAAAATTGTTAAGTTATCAGAACCTAGAAAATCCTGACATTCCTTTCTTCCAGTTCTGCTAAATTGTCCCTTGCAACCCCACCCTCAATCCGGCATTCCTCAACTTTTTCGAATTCCATTTCGTTGATTTCCTGATATGAATTCTTTTCAATGAAAGCTCCAGTTGGATGACGCAAATCAGAGAAAAAGATGAGGCTCAATTTCCCTCAAAAAGTGATCCTCTTTGTGATCTCTTAGCCAGCATTTCTTTCCACAACACCTCCACATCCTTTTTCGAAAATATTTTCCTCCATTTTTGTCTATTTCGATGTGTTAATGGTTTTTGTGGATGAAGATAAGCTAAATGTGGGTATGGATGGAGGAGTGAAGGAGTGAAGGAGTGAAGGAGTGGAGGAGTGGAGGTGTGGAGGTGTGGAGGTGTGGAGGAGTGGAGGTGTGGAGGTGTGGAGGAGTGGAGAAGTAATATGATCCAATTGCTTTTGAGGTGCCAATTTTGGAGGAGAGCTTTCAGATTTTCTGATCTCACATCCACAAGAGCTTATTAAATTTTATTTTCACAATTGCACCTCGTGGTTTAAAGTTTAGAAAAAGAGATCCAGTGGGATTATTCCTTTTCCATTCAATGGTTCACACCAAAAAACTGGAACTAAACTGGATGTAAAGTAAAAGAAACGAAATTCTTCTCTTTTCTTTACTCTTTAAACTTTATTTCAGACATTTCATTTGTTTGTTTCATTTGTTTCATTTGTTTTTCATTGACATTTCATTTGTTTTTCTTTTTTGATTTGATTCTTTTATTCAATTTCTTTCTTTTAAACCAATTTTCCCATAGAGATCCTCTTTCTCGACTAATAAAATCCCATTTTAAAGCTCAAGGTGATTCGATTTAAGGCTGACTATACTTTTAGTTGATTTCTGTTGTAAATCAGTCTCTGTTTGCCTCTGTTTGCTAAAAGAAGTTATTCATGAAAAAAAAACTACTGTACTTTGGCAACTTTAAAGCTTCTTTACTCACAAGGGAAGGTCAACCGGGTGTGGTGGCCAAATGACAAGAGCTATAGACCATACGACGCAGTATTTCACGCTGCTTTCCGTTTTTGCATGTGTAATAGTTAATGATGTTAATAGTTAAATGCAAATATTTTTATGAAAAGTAGTTTAAAATAAACTTTTACTTGAAATGGAGAACAATTAAGTTTGCAAATTAAAAAAAAAAACAAAAGACAGGAATAGACTGGACTAGAACTAGAGAGGCTCTGCCTAGAGAACTAGAGAGGCTCTATATTCTACTCTATTCTATTCTAGTATTCTAGCGCACTCCCACTCGCCCATCAATGCTTCCTAGGGTCTCTGGGAAATGCTTCCTAGGGTCTCTGCTTATAAACTCGTGGTGGGATTTTTGAAATCCCATACAAAACTTTGCATGCTTATAACTTTTGATAGAGTGCCATTTTGCAAAAAAGGAAAGCAGAATTCAGCGTGAAATACTGCGTTGTATGGTCTATGGCTTATTTGGCCACCACACACGGTTGACCTTCCCTTGTCGGAGAAAACTTCAGAGCTAAATTACGGTAGTCTTTTAAACGAACCTTTCAGAACTTGTTTATTTAAGCGGAAACGATTATCTATGAGTGTCTGTTTAGGCGATTTATTCAAATTTATGAATCATTTTTTCTGGTTTCATTTCAAAACAGTGGCGATGGAAATTTAATCCATTTTCAGTATAAAAAGGGCAACAGAGAGTGTTTTTTAATCTAAATGCTGGCTTGTTACGCCTAAAACTACAGTAACTCTGCCGTTTTTCAGCATTGAACGTCTTCAATGTTTCCTATAATCTCTTCAATGTGGAAATTTCTCGAATTCCTCATTTTGTCACTCATTTTCCCTTGTTATTGGGTGTTTCTCTGAATGGCCGTCTCCATCTTTATTCAGAATTTCTTGACTTTTATGTTCTTCACTGTCATTTAATTGACCCTAAAGATACGACTACCACTCCTCCTTTTTACCACGACTGTAAACGACTACCACTCCTCCTTTTTTTCCAATTTGGACAAAGTCCATTCCGGAGAACATTCCGGAGAATTCCCCGAATTCCCCAAAAACATTTGTGATCTCCGAGAATCATTTACGTATCAGGGAAAACTGAAGAGAGAACTTGTGTTTTTTGAGTCCAAAGAGGGCATCTTTTACGACACATCCAGCCCCACATTCGAATGATTTATTTCGAGGCGATTTTCTTGAGAAACTTTGCCCAATGATGCCAGTATAGATTCTTTTTTGAAATGTGTTGCAACGCTTTGCACACAGATGTCATTCCTTGTACTTTGTGTTCTTGTAAACCATAGTGTTTCGGCAAACAATCGGGGCTGTTTCTAGGACCTATTGTTTCTAGGCTAAACCAAGCCTGTTTCTAGGTTAAACCAAGCCTGCTTCTAGGCTAAACCAAGCCTGTTTCTAGGCTAAACCAAGCCAAGCCAAGCTCAGCTTCAAATTCTGACCTCGACCAATGTTTTTGGAACAAAATTTTGTGAAGACGCTTATTGTGTACTATAGTTGAATTTAGTAATAGTATAAAGTACATTCTAGCAACCATAATCAAGTTTTTATATCTCTTTTCACTATTATATATTGTACTGTATATAATGCGGGAAACTCACGCCGGCAGTACTACTCCATATTTGGTTAAGGATTATGAAATGACGCTGACTTTCAAAAAGCTTCTTTTTTATGGATTTTATGAGCTCCTAAACGCAACCAGTCAAAGTGACAAGTCTGATTCGCCAAGCCAAAGCCAAAGACCAAAGCCAAACCAAAGCCAAGCCAAAGCCATGTAAGCTATTTCATCTCCTTATCCTTTTGACTCGTTTCTTACACATAAACTTAACTGATGAACAGTTAGCAAATAAACAAAAAAAAGTTATCACTTTTAATATTTAATTACATAGAAAGCCAAATTTTTGTAGTGATCTCGTGAATCATTTTCTCTAAATGATGATTTATATCTTTAAAAAATGATCTTTTATTGAATGGGGACGCTTTTTGAGTTCTATTTCAAACAGAATTTTTGTGGAGAAATTAGTGAGCTTTCCAGTGATATTCAATTAAAAGACTGAATATCAAAAAATGTATGCAAACGTCTAGTTCTTAAATGTAAATCTATGGTTTCAAATATAAATTTGGCTTTGCTTTTCAAAAAGGCCAAGACCCAGGCCAAGACCAAGCCAAAGCCAAGTAAGCCAAAGACCAAAGCCAAACCAAAGTCAAGCCAAAGCCAAGCCAAGACCAGGCCAAAGCCAAGCCAAAGCCATGTAAGCTATTTCATCTCCTTATTTTCTACTTTTTGTTCAGGTGATTCATTCATCATTTGTTTATTTATTCAGCCGTATGGCTAAATTTAGTACGAGCGGCGGTGGTTTAAGGCTATTGTGACGGTGAAAGGCGAGGCTATCACCTCCGCTTTAGGGTGTTGTCCCTCTTGTCCTCTTTCATCTATTTCAATATGCCCCCATTCCCCAAGAATAGCAATGACACTTATCTCTTTTGTTTGCATTCTCTCTTTTTTACTTTTTGGTGGAATGCAAAGAAAACATTTGGGTGATTCAAAGCATTCTAACCATTTTTCTCCACCCTCCGCCTTGCATTGGGTAAGCAACTTTTGGTTTCTTCTTATTTGCACGGCTACTCATTGTTGACAGAAAAGAGGTAAATTGAGTTTTTCGAATCTTTCAGAAGACTAAAATTAGTACTGTTTTGGTTGATTAATTCGTTTAATCAAGAGTTAACTTTACAAAAACAGTGCAAAGTAGACCTGGGGATTTTCGGTGTGAACGTCAATAGGTGGGCAATGGAAAAATGGGATATCTTGCTCAATTTCACTCGGATCTTTTTGATTTTGATATGAATTGATGCAGAATTTCAGTTTCGATCGATTGAAATCAAAGACAAAAAGATTAGAATGATTAAAATTGACTGGGAAAATTCGGGGAAGTAGACAGAAAAGGGAAAGAAAGGGGAAGGGAAAGAAACTAGTGGGAAGGGAAAGAAAG